ATTAATAATATAATGTTAATCAGGAACTGTGGTACAAATTAATTATTTAAACTATTTTTTATTGAAACATACATAAACCAATAGATATATAGAAAATATAGGTGATTCAATACAATTTTTTTTTCTTTTAAATATAAATATAATCATTTGAATTTTTAAAGATTTTACTTTACTCATGTGCATTATCTTTCAAAGTAGTAAAACATTTCTCACATTTTTTATTACAATTTTTTTTTTATCTTCTATGATTCACTCATCGTCTCCCAACATCTATTCTCTTCTTACCTTATATTGGCTTATATATAATATACTCGAATATAAATTAGTTTTCAAGATAGTTTATATCTATTTTCTCCTTCATATCTTTCAATTCTCAATCTTTTTTATATGTTGCATTATCTTTTTATTAAAGTGAACATTAGATCATAAGGTTTCTTTGACCATGTTTTGGTGCATGTAAATTGATTTTAAATATACGAAATGTTGGAGTAATTATTTAAAATGTAGGCAAGTTAAATATCATTAAAAGATAATTTATACAATGTATACTCGGAGTGTGAATCCGCAAATCTCAGCGACAAAAAATTGTGAATCCGCAAATTTCCCGCCAAAAACCTAAACTTGTAACGTTTTTGCTAAAAATGTAAATCCGTGATTTTCGCACCAAATGATGATGAATATTGTTGTTTTTATATTGATTATTAATTAATTTATTATTTTAATGGGTCAACTATTAACTCATTTAACTGTAAACTCATTAGATAATCAGAGCCGTGCCTCAAGGTATAACAAAGAAACCTTCGCCTACGTCCTCAAATTTTTGAAAAAAACTTAGAAGCATATTTTTCTACAAGATACCTTTAGTTTAATATGCCCAATATTGAAAGATCACTTGCATTTATCTAAGTAATAAGAAAAATAAAATTAAAGTAGAAAAATATTAAAAGAATTAGGAAACTAAACAGAACAAAGTATTATAAATTTAGGTTAATGATTATCAAGTTATGCATTATAGAAATTGTATTGTATATAAAAATATATTAGATGTTTCATAGTATTTCAAATTTTGATAATAATACAATACATCTTATAACTAAAACTATAATGTATTACTTAATAATCATGAAAAACGATTGAGTGACTTGGCGATCTTATCTATCGAAAGAGAATTGGTTAGGGAAATTGACTATGAATGTTTGGCTAATAATTTTGTTGGAGAGAAAGGGAGAAGAATTACGTTTTAGAACTAATTTTATGTTTTGGTTTTGACGTAATTTCATCATATGGCAATTTATCTTTGTAGAAGTATCATTTTTTTTTTCCTCGAACACAATTTCTATTAAGTTGTCGGAAAGAGACAACTTAATGCTCTTCATAAGACAGTTTAGAGCTCTAGCTTTGTAGAAGTATCTTTGTTTTGTGAATTGGGGAAAATTTCATTTGACCGCCTCTGGCAACCATTGACCTTGGCACGTCTCTATAGATAATGAGTTGACACCCCTATATACGCATTAATCTGTTTATTAATAACATGATGTTAAATATTTATTTTAAAGTGCAAAAATAAAACAATATAAGACAATATGGCACATATTGCTAAAAACAAATATATTAGATCGAACATCTTATATATGTTAATTTCAACTTTAAAAAGATAGTAAAATATGTTTTTATATATATAATCTCGTAGTAATTATTGAAACTGCTAAAACTATTAAATATATATTTTCTGCAATTTATACCACATTAATAAATAAAAAATTCATAATAACTTATCTTAAAGAAAGAAGAAATAAAATTTGGCACATGTGTAGACTATGTTTTCATAGTAATTTATTTTATATATGTGTAGCATGTAGGATATCTTTTTCGAAAAATTTATATGAGATTCGGAATTCTAATAAGTGATTATGAAAAACTGAGTAGCTATTTGAATAGCTCACAATTCATAATCATATATAAATATATGAAAATAGAGGGTGTTATTGTGTTAATCTTATGTTGATGAAATACATGATAGTAAATTAGTATTTAAATGTAACATTAGAAAATGCATAAATTATTAATTATAATTATGGGAGTTACATGCATTGAATGGAGAAAATATATCATACAATTTATATTATTTAGGTTACAATTTAGTATTAAAGGGTGGATTAATGTATATGATTAAATGGGTTATATTTGTTGTTTGATTAGGGATAAATAAAGCCAATTTTATTAAATAGCATAAGAATTACAGTTATATTTTAAGGAATTAAATATGATAATATACAATTAGAATTTAATGATAGTTTTGTAAAAATATAATTTTAATACTATTAATATTTATGTTTGAAAAAAAAACATTTATGTTTGAAAAACTATATGCCATGTCGTTCTCTCTTGAACGATCTCCAAACCAATTGTTGGGTTGGGTTGTTCGTGAATAGACTCAAGAATTTCAACCACCCATCTATACAATAATTGTCACACTGTAAAAAAAATAAAACTATATTATTTTTAACTATATTTCATATCCATTGTCAAACTATCTATTTTTTAATTAGACTCTTTTGATTCCCATTTTTTTTTGTGCAATAAATTTTTCATTAATAACTATAAACGAAAGATAGATAATCAAATTTTTGTGCGTTGGAAACAATATAAAAATAAACAAACACAAACTAAACCTGGAAAGAATGACATCTTACCTCGAATATTTTAACTGACTTTAAGATAGTCACCACCTTAACATATGACTTTCGAAAATATTAAAAAATATCCAGATCTACAAACATAACATAAGAAAGAACTGACAAAAAAAAAGAATACGCAAAAAAGAAGAAAAGAAGATTAGAAACTATTAAGTGAATAGAAAAATGTTACAAAATTTGTGGGGCTTGAAATATGATGGTTAGTATTGAACATGTCGTACTATTTATAAAAAAATTATATTGTCAAAACAATAATAAATTGCTTTTAATATTATATATGTGAATAAAATTAATTGTAGTTTTAGCATCATGAGCTACGTTACATTTGTAGAATTAAATGTGTTATACAGTAATAGCATTTACCTTTGTATGTAGTCTACCTACATGCTAACGACAATGAAAGGTATTTGATTGAATATTAACTGTAGTTTTCAATTAGACATAAAATTAAGTATCACACGTTACAGCTTTGTCATTTTTGGGCTAACTTTTTTTTTGGTGTAATTTAAAGTGAGTTGTGTATTCTTTCTGAGTGATATATCAAAAATAATCTAAGGACACTTAATAATCTTTCTTAGCAGTTACATGTGTATTAATGTCATGGGAGTTTTTTCTGTGTGTTTTTGCCTTTTTGATCAAATATGATGGGAGTTATGGTTACATTTTAAGGAATTAATATGCCAATAATAGGAATTAATGTTTAAACAAAACACATTTTCTTTCATGCATTTAAATAAACATATATAATTGATTATGTGATTAACATTATCTTATTTGGTATATTTTGAATAATTTCTTGTTTATGAGATTTCAATTCTTGAATTAGTTTTTTTCTTACACATGTTCTTTAAATTTTGAATATCTTATGCAGTATAAACTAATTCTAAAATAGATTAGCTGTTGTAGTAATTATTTTTTAGACCATTGATATAATAGAAATTATTATTAGACGATCCCAAAAGAATAGAATAGAATATATTATTGTGAAATAATTTAATGTTTTATTTATTATTTATTATGATGATAAAATATAAACAAATATATATGAAGCCAAAAAAATAATCTAAGGAACAAATATATAAAATTATAGGAAAATATGGTATATGAAGCCAAAAAATATATAAATGATTTACACTAATATGGCATAAAGTTGGTCTTTACATATACACTGTAGATAATAAATTGTATCAAAGAAAAAATTCTAAGATTTTAGTGTAGATAATAAATTGTATGAAAGAACAAATTCTATGATTCCAATATTTTTAATTATTTTTGCATTTAAACTTTTTATATATTTTAATTGGTGTATATATATATAAATGTAGGGGTATTAAAGAAGTGGTATGAAAGAAAATTTTTCCTATTAAATGTCATAATAAAAAAAAAACATGTGCCACATGTCGTAAGAAGAAAGTGACAAATGTCGTGATAATAGAGCTCCTTACAGAAAAACCTTGTCATATAAGATAAGATACTGTCTCCATATCATTTTAAAGTGATTAACTTTTTTTTTTCATTTTAAGATGTTTTAAACTATTTATTTTGACTAATTAATTATTTTGCAGTATGTTTTTTTATTGGTTTAATTCAATTTACTTGATGATGTTATTAATGTATGTAAAAAGGGATAAATTGAATAAAACTTATATATGTATTTCTTAATTTGTGTGCAAAACTTTAAACATCACTTAAAATGATATAGAGAGAGTAATATATTCAGCATTTTTTAAAATTAAGGCTATGCTAACTATACCAGTTCTGGAAATCCATATATGTAAATTGGCAATAGTAAATTTTCTATGTTATTAATATATTAGACTAGGTTCTCCAACTTGTATATAGTCGATCTGAGATTATCAAACAACTCTCTTTTGACCTATGGTGCAATGATTCGATCATGATGGAATTATTTACATGTCAAATCTTCATCGTTGAGTTTTTTTTTTTTTTTTTTTTCATCGTTGAGTCTTCTACTAGCAAAACTTCATGGTAGACAAACATTCGGAGTAAAAGGAGGAGAATATGAAGCCTAAAGTACACATAGATTCTTGTAATCATCTTACAGTTTCCAATAATTTAGATATTGTCTTGGAACAGAGACTCTTGATTTTCACCCTCACCAAAAAAATACTTATAATTTGTTGAGAAAAAAATATTTTAATAGCATGGACATGGTAACAGGCATAGCAAAAGAAAATGAAAAGTAACAAACAAAAAGACATACATCTTTTTTTGACGACCATTTTAGTGTTAAAAACACTTAAAAGTAAGAAGCTAAAGTATTAATGAAGAAATAATTAAGAAGTTTATGAAACTATTTTTTTAAAGGAAAACCTAATTAAAAAGATTAGAGATGAGAGTAGAGATTATATATAATCAGAATTAAGTAGTTCTGTATATGAAGACCGTCTCGAGATCTGGTGGAGAAAAGAACTCTCTAGCGCCGACGTCATAGCTAAACTTCAATGACAGTTTCGGTTTCTTAGGTGCTGGAGGACACGGAAATACCGTCGGTATTCTAACGGAAGCAGCCGTTGGAGTCGATGGACAGAGATCTTCGTCTTCCGTGCCGGATACGGCAGAGGAGGAGAGGCTAACCGGCGGCTTCATCGGAGAACGTAAGGAGGTTCCGGTGATGACCCATTTCTTCCTTTCGGTAGTTTCGCCAAATTTGCCGTCAAACTGGTGGTGAGTTTTGCCGGAAACTCCCATAAGTTATCGTATGAAGTTAAGAGAGAAACAAGAAAATTGTTTGATAGAAATGGAGAATGAAATAGTAAAAGATTAGGTTTTTAAAGTAACATTAGTTTGGAACGAGAGAGAATGTGAAGAGAATGAAACATGTGATTCAGAGAAGAGGATTGGTCTTATAGTCAACAGTGACTTCAAGACAACCGATCGTTCTCGATTAATTTTTTTTTTTTTTAAAAAGAAATTTGTATCTTAGTATTTATTTTCTTGGTTACATTAAAGGAACGAAGAGATAGTGAGATTGAGTGTACAAGGATGCTTGAGGTTTTAAAATAGACGTGACAAAGAATCCTATTTTTTTTTCTTAACCATAAAAAATGTAATCATGATATCTAAAGCATATGTTTAATTAAAAAGAACTATGACTATATAGTATATACACTAAATGGAAAAACTTATGTTGATATATGTTCTTTTTGATACATAATTAAGTGATATAGTTTTATTCATTACAAATTGAAAGGTGATAATAGTTTTTGAAGGGTGGTGCAGAAGATATCGTAGTCAACTAAAAAGTGCCCTAACTAATGATTAAGATACGCCGTTTTATATTGATCGAAGTTAGGTGACTAGAATATGCTTTCTCTACAAGTAATTTGTTTGGCCACTGCAAATAAAACCTTCATGCACCTAAATTCTGAAATAATCTTTATTTTTTTTCCTAATTAATCTCCATTAATTATAGTCGTATATTTTCCAAAATAAACATTTTTTGTGAAACAAAGAGATTCAAATCTTATTAAATAGTACCAATTATGGGTTATAAATATGGATTAATAACATTTCATATATAAACTTTTTAGACCGATTCTAACATTACAAATATACAAAATATATATGTAAGCAAAAAATAATGAGTGTATTACGAAAGAATAAAGCCAAGGATTCTGTAGACTATGGGTCCGAATGGTAACAGCGTATTTAGTTGTGTGGGAAAAGCGGTTTTATAGTGCGGTACGGTTCAACAGCGGTACGTGCGGGAGAAACATATTTGCGGGACAAGTGCGGTTAGTACAAAATAAGCGGTATGCAATAAAGTTTGATTGGTGAAAAAACTATTTGCGGTACACAGTAAAATGTTTGAATGGTAAAAAAATAACAAGCGGTACGCATTACCGATTATAGATAAATATGTTAGAATAAATATAATGATAAATTAGTGATTGTTTTGTGGTAGTAAAGAAATATTTTCATATATTTATGAATCTTAAATATGCAAACCGATTTAAATTAAAATATTAATTTTTTTGACATAATTACTTCTAAATTATTTAAAAATCCAATCATAAAAAGTATAATATTACTTGAAATTTCATGAGTAAAAAGATGTTGACCAAAAAGAGAGAAGAATTTATATGTGTTTAAGGTAAAAATATTACACATATATAAATGTTTTTAATAATTAAAAAATAGAAAAATAATAATGTATATAACCAATAGCGTATTTCGTTGAACCACATGGTAAAGAAATGTTCTAACTTTAAAAAGCGGTCCAACAGGTTTTACCCTGTTTCGAAAAACGCAAACACTCTCTTTAAAAAATAAAATAAAAACGCAAATTTGTAGAAGAAATGTTGATTGGTGTATTACGTGTGGTTTTCATTTTTTTTTTTTGAAATCCGCGATTACCTTGTCACCATTCACTGCCTATATATAAACAAATTTTACTGAAATCGATGAGGAAAGAATCAAGAATGTGTGTGAGTGAGTGAAGAAATGAAGAATGTGTGTTAGAGTGAGTGAACAAATGGACCAAATATACAAAAGACTCAAATAGGTTTTTAATGATCAATAGGGATCCCGAGGAAACGCGTGACTCTAAGCTATATGAATTTAATTTGCACTTATTACTTTTAATTACTTTCAAATTTAACCATTTTTATATATATTTCAGTGCAAGTAATTAATGAAGTAACGAGATGAGAGTCTAGTTTCAAAGTTTTGAATCTTTTGGTCAATGTCGTCTCTATTTGTAGACCATATCATACGTTTGACTTTGACCGTATGCATTTTTCTTTAGTCGTCACCCCATTTGAACGTCAATTACGCAATCATTCTTTTTCTCTATTTCCATTGGTGGACGAATATTTACCGTTAGAAGTTGTATCTAAAGATACCAAAGATTAATACTGTGAAAATATGATAAAGAAGAATAAAATTTGGGTGTAGATATTGATATTTTCAACTGAACTAACTAGTACCTAAATAGTATTCCATGTTACCATAACTTAATAGAAATGTTTCAAACATGATGTCGGACGTTAGATAATGTCTATATCCACATAATGAAATTGTGTTTCTAGTATCCACTGCGATTAATTGATCCGGTCTTTCATGAGCGTACAAAATACATCAAAGTGTACTTGTATATTGTCTAATGTCTATGATGCAATTCAAGACAAGTTCATCAACACTTAATTACTTGTTGACCGGTTAGTTGATCTATTAACTAAGACTTCAATTGCCAAATTATATATGGTCCTCAAGTTAACATCTTTTGCTCCAAGTTATCACTAAAGCCGGATTATTTCGCATTGTGTTGTACCAAATTCGTGGATACGCATGTGTGGAATCCAAATAGAATCTGCCAATCTGGTATCAGTCACTAGTGGAGTGTATTAGTAGAACTGGGGACTGTTTGATTCAACTTCACATTTGCCAAAAGCCTCAGCTCATTCGACACACAATATGATTTAATCACTTGTTCACTACATGAACTAGTTAACTCGTTCACTTGGTGTAGACATTCCAGTGTTTTTGATATTTTCTTAATTTATATGATGAAACATACGATTCTTTCTTTCACTTTTTTTTTTCTATGTCGATATCAAACTGTTTTTTTTTTCCGTCTGGACACATTTACTTTTTATGTAATGCTCGTTAAGTAAGTTTGGTTGTTATTATACTTCCCTATCAATAAAACGCTGTCGGCCATTCACAAAATAATTAAACACTTCCAGTATAAGTTTTTTTTATTCATATCTACAAAGAAATATTCACATTTTATAAATTAGACTTAATGCCTATGATTCATATGTAAACTATATATTTGAACACTTCTAGAATATAACCGCTCTGATTTTTTTTCCTCTTATGTTATTGATGAATTAGTCATTATAATTAGTGTCTTGCCAAAAAGTACCCTTCTATACCTTGTTAGCATTATACATTACAAACAGTTAATTTCACTACCTATAGTCAGAAGTTCAATAAGGCGTTCACTAAGTTAGTTAAATTTCGAGTCTTGAATAACCCATTGTCATATATATGAATCACAGAACGAGGGGACGCATTATAAAAGACTAAGACGTACAGTCACAGAAAACAGATATAATAGTCATCAAATAAAGCCAAAAATTTGATAAGTACACAAAACATGTGGAAAGATAAGGGCTCTAAGCCTTTATAAAGATCCCACAATCTTGAGAACTTAGAGCCAAACTAGCTATGTTACGAAATCAAAGTTTGAAAGTAATAACCTGCTTGAACAAGCCTTCAAGTTCACTACATGCATGGTATAGAAAGGAGTGAAATCTATTACTTTTAAACGCTTCCATTTCTTGAATGTCAACTCTTATGTTCTGTTTTTTCTCTCTCGAAATTGTAGTATAAAATGTAGGAAAGCCCGTATTGGTAGACCAGTGACAGCACAATTTCACCAATCAATCCAACAAAGTATGCAATCACACCGATAACATCACAATTTCATGTGTACCAATCAATCCAACAAAGTATGCAAATCACGACCTAGGTATACTTTGTTAGAATGATTGGCACCAATGAAATTGTGGTGTCGTGTGAACATCCACACATAGGAGGTAAAATATGCTAGCAATCAAGTATACACTACACTAAACCGTAGATTCCCTTATTTGGTAGAGTTTTTGCGAATTCAATTTTAGAGTTTTTGCCTCTCTCGTCATCTTTGATTGATTCATTACAAACCTATTTATACTACTTCCATCGTTAACCTAAAAACAAAAAAGCCCGACTTACTTTAACATGTTAGTAACAAAAAACCCCGACTTATTTAACTTACTAAACCCATCTCTATATGGGCCTGACTTTAGGCCCCATGGCCCTTTCCTCTTTAATTATGACTTTCTTCGTTGACTCTCCTTCTTCTTCTTTCGATAGTAAAATTAAATTTGACGGAAAAAGTAACACGACGTCGGTTTTGTGAAACATAGAGCTCTTTGCTAAACTTCTTCCGTTTTTTTTTTTTTAATCCAACCACAAGGAACGATAACGAAATCATCAGATCGCCAGAAAAAGAACCAATTGCGAAATGGAGAATCTCAGCTTAGAGAGATCTGCGTCAATCTCCATCTAGATGTGGCTACTTCTTCGTCTCCATAGAATCATAATTTCATCAGATCTCGCTGATTAATCTTCCGCATTTGGATCTGATTCCAAACTCCTACGGAAGAACATGGCAGGAGCGGCCTCCGCTCTGTTTCTGCTTGATATCAAGGGACGCGTTCTCGTCTGGCGTGATTACCGTGGCGATGTCTCCGCTGCTCAAGCCGAGCGATTCTTCACTAAGCTCATCGAGAAAGAGGTTTTTCTGATCTTCCTCTTATCGCACATTGATCGGTGTCTAAAGCCGGGTCAATTGGCAGAGAACATAGAGCTAGTGAACGAACTTGTAGATTTTTGTGTTTGAGAGATTCGTCAATTGGAATTGAAACATTTCGAAGCAATGAAAACGCTTGATTTTCGTCTGTACTAGAAATAAATTTCTAAGATAATTGATTCGTGTACGTCTTTGTGATCTGATGCTTTGGATTAGAGTTTGATTTGAATCAGCATTTTGAAGAAGTCAGAGTAAGATTCTCATCATTGTTTTGTTTAATTGTTCAGGGTGATTCACAGTCAAATGATCCAGTTGCTTACGATAATGGGGTTACTTATATGTTTGTACAACATAGTAATGTATACTTGATGATAGCATCCAGACAGAATTGTAATGCTGCCAGTCTTCTCTTCTTTCTTCACCGCGTAGTCGATGTAAGTATGGCTGGTAAATTCTTCATTTTTTCTCTTAAGGCTATTTTTTCTCTGGGTGTTTGATGTAATGGCAATGGTTACAGGTTTTCAAGCATTACTTCGAGGAGTTAGAAGAGGAATCGTTGAGGGATAACTTTGTGGTTGTGGTATGTTAAGCTTCTGTCATCGCTCTTTTAGTACTATTTGGCAATATATTTCTGTAATACTTGCCCAATCAAAAAGATCCTTGAAATTTTGGAAAAGTATTTGTCGTTGTTAGATGTTGAAATTGATTTCTGGTGCTGGCAGTATGAGCTACTTGACGAGATGATGGACTTTGGTTACCCTCAGTATACCGAAGCAAGAATTCTCAGTGAATTCATCAAGACTGATGCATATAGAATGGAAGTTACACAGAGACCTCCAATGGCTGTGACAAATGCCGTCTCCTGGAGGAGTGAGGGAATCCAGTACAAGAAGAATGAAGTGAGTGCCTTTGTTTTTACAAGAGAGGAATATGTTTGTGTTGTGTTTTGGTTTGCAAATAATGACAACCTGCTTCCTTTTCCAGGTTTTCTTGGACGTAATTGAGAATGTAAATATTCTTGTCAACAGTAATGGGCAAATTGTCAGGTCTGATGTTGTTGGAGCACTGAAGATGCGAACTTACTTGACGTATGTCTACACAACAAATTTTCGATATAGTCTCTTATCAGCCAAAGCATGTTTTATCACGTCCCATTTGCTTTGATCTCTGTCTTGGCGTTTTATTTGACTCTTTTGCTCTTTGATCCATTCTATTGCAGTGGAATGCCAGAGTGTAAGTTAGGACTGAATGATAGAGTATTGCTGGAAGCACAGGGACGAGCAACAAAGGGGAAAGCCATTGATTTAGAAGACATCAAATTTCATCAGTATGTCTTTAAGCTTCTATTATACTGAAACTTGGAGGAAACCCTTCTATTTTCTTTTTGTTCAAAAAGATTCTATACTTGATTTTTATGTATTCTCTTCTTCAACAACCAATTATTTAATGCAGGTGTGTTCGATTGGCCCGTTTTGAAAACGATAGGACGATATCTTTCATACCACCTGATGGGGCTTTTGATCTGATGACATATAGACTTAGCACTCAGGTTTGACATGTGGGATATAGCATCTACTGATTTTCTCGTCTTCATCAAGTATATATCATGATTTGTTTCTTTTCTGTTCAGGTAAAGCCTCTTATATGGGTGGAAGCGCAAATAGAAAGTCATTCCAGAAGTCGTGTTGAGATGCTTATAAAAGCTAGAAGTCAGTTCAAGGAACGAAGGTAAATATATTCTACGGTATTGTTGCCACTTTTCCTTTTCTCTCTTACTGTAATGCAAAGATCCTGATGATCAGATTCTTTGAACCTTTGATCGAGAATTTTCTATTTGTAGCACCGCAACGAACGTTGAGATTGAGTTGCCTGTACCAACCGATGCATCTAACCCCACCGTTAGGACATCTCTAGGGTCTGCCTCGTATGCTCCTGAAAAAGATGCGTTAGTCTGGAAAATCAAATCTTTCCCCGGAAACAAGGTATAAGCTTATAACACTAGCAAGTTTCATAACATTCTTAAATCCATTTGAAATAATCAGCAATGTAGTATCAATGCTAACCTTCATAAAACCAATATAGGAGTACATGTTAAGGGCAGAGTTCCATCTTCCAAGTATTACTGCAGAGGAAGCAACACCTGAGCGAAAAGCTCCTATCCGTGTCAAATTCGAGATCCCTTACTTCACTGTTTCAGGGATTCAGGTAAGCATGTGCTCAATAATAAATGGTTTCTATATCTTCTGCGTTTTTAGCTCATCCCAGTGCGTTACTGTCTCTTCCACAATGTCATATATCAAATTTATATGTTTTTTTGGTGTGTAGGTTCGGTACCTAAAGATAATTGAGAAGAGCGGGTACCAAGCACTTCCATGGGTGAGATACATAACCATGGCTGGTGAGTACGAACTAAGACTCGTGTAAGGCTCATTTAGTTTCATCGTCTATGTCATTGTGATTCCCACATTCCTCGGGGAATTTGCCTGAATCAATGAAGCAAAAGGAAACAGGACAAAAGTAGAGAAAACTTTTTAAAACATTTTAGCTGATCAAATTTTCCTTTAATTTGTTTTTTAGAAGCCATATTCTTGTGAATTTGTCTTTATGGTGATTCTATTTTATTTTACATGAGGCTCTTTGTAACCTTTCACGACATGGTTCATTTTTTTTGTTCTTAAGCCAAGCGACATTTCTATCTGTGTGTTGGTTCAGTGATCGAAATTGTTAAACGTTGAGGTTTTGGTTTTTGGTTTTGGGGCATCAGTCTATGTTTGTCTCGAGTAAGATCAAAATTGATCAAAATGTTTACTAATAAAACTACACAAACAAATTATCCTACAATAGAGTGAGATGAGAGAGCTGATGAGAGCCAAACTATGGGGAGAGAACGTGTGTTTCGCATATTCGAAACTGATAACATGGGCCGATGAAATGAATCGTCAGGCCCATTAAAAGGTCCATAATCAATATCCTTTCTCCTCCAATTCTGTGTCGAGCTTGGGAAGTGACAGTGAATTAGGGTTTTACTCAAAAACCTCCTCGTTGTCGTTGCTTACTACTCCGACGAGAAAATGGCGATGCGACATTTGAGCCGATCGAGAGACGTCACAAAGAGATCGACGAAGAAGTACATCGAAGAACCTCTTTACCATCGACTCTTCAAAGATGGCGGCACAGAGGTCAAAGTTCGGCAGCAGCTGAATCAGTTCCTCAAAGGCACTAAACACGTCTTCAAATGGGAAGTCGGAGATACAATCAAGAAACTCCGAAATCGCGGCCTCTATTACCCAGCTCTCAAGGTTTCATAAATCAAATTGCATTTTCGATTCTTTAAGATTAGCTTCACAATAATTTTCAGATTTTAAAACCATTTTTTTTTTTTTTTTTTTGGTAAAAATTTTAAAACCATTTGCTTTAACCTGTTGAATACATATCAAATGTAGATTCTTTAAGTGGTAGTTTGATGCTGATTTTGAATAATTTAGTAATTGTTGAATGTCTTTTATTGAAATTGGTGATGATTGATTTTTGAGAATTCATATTGTGGAGTTGTTTTTTTTGTTTGTAGCTATCTGAAGTTATGGAAGAGAGAGGTATGAACAAGACAGTGAGTGATCAAGCAATCCATCTTGATCTTGTTGCTAAAGCTCGGGGAATTACTGCTGGGGAGAATTATTTTGTTGATCTTCCGGAAACATCTAAGACAGAACTCACGTATGGGTCTCTTTTGAACTGCTACTGCAAGGAGTTGTTGACGGAGAAAGCGGAAGGTTTGCTGAACAAGATGAAAGAGCTCAATATTACTCCTAGTTCCATGTCTTATAACAGTCTCATGACTCTTTACACCAAGACAGGTCAGACTGAGAAAGTTCCAGCGATGATCCAAGAATTGAAGGCGGAGAATGTAATGCCGGATTCATACACGTACAATGTCTGGATGAGGGCTTTGGCTGCTACGGATGATATTTCTGGTGTTGAGAGAGTTATCGAAGAGATGAATAGAGATGGTAGAGTTGCTCCAGATTGGACTACGTATAGCAATATGGCATCGATATATGTTGATGCTGGACTGTCTCAGAAAGCTGAGAAGGCCCTTCAGGAACTGGAGATGAAAAACACGCAACGGGATTTTACTGCATATCAGTTTCTTATTACTTTGTATGGACGTCTGGGAAAACTGACTGAAGTTTACAGGATTTGGCGTTCGTTGAGGCTGGCTATTCCGAAAACCTCAAATGTAGCTTATCTAAACATGATACAAGTGCTGGTCAAGTTGAATGATTTACCGGGTGCTGAGACACTGTTCAAGGAATGGCAAGCTAACTGTACTACTTATGACATCAGGATTGTAAATGTGTTGATTGGAGCTTATGCTAAAGAGGGTTTCATCGAAAAAGCAAAAGAGCTCAAGGAGAAAGCTCCCAGAAGAGGTGGCAAGGCCAATGCTAAAACCTGGGAGATCTTCATGGATTACTATGTAAAGAGCGGTGATATGGCTCACGCACTCGAGTGTATGTCTAAGGCAGTTTCTATCGGCAAAGGAGATGGTGGCAAGTGGCTACCGTCACCTGAAACAGTCAGAGCTATGATGAGCTATTTCGAGCAAAAGAAAGATGTTAATGGAGCTGAGAATTTGTTGGAGATTTTAAAGAATGGAACAGATAACATAGGAGCAGAAATCTTTGAACCATTGATAAGAACATATGCAGCAGCGGGAAAGAGTCATCCTGCTATGCGTCGACGTCTGAAGATGGAAAACGTGGAGGTTAATGAAGCGACAAAGAAGCTACTTGATGAAGTATCTCAGGAGGTGTGAGGTCTGTACCATCTCTTTCCCCTTCATTATTTCCTTCAGGCGACACATTATTAGTTGTGTTAGGGGCACTTGCGTTGTCACAGCTCTGTTTCTTATTGGTAATAAAAATAGGATCTGAATCGGCAAAATCAATCGTATGGGTCTGTTGTACTTCACCTTAGACTGTCTGTTCATGTTTTTGTGAATTGTTTTGGGTTTAGCTTGGATTTACAGTTGAGACAGCTCTCACAATGTAAGCCTATTTCTTTGAGATCTTATTTTGGTTCAAGACAGAAACATAATCGAGAATACGATATTTTGCTCATCAATGTCAATTAGGAACAAAATTTTGCGGATTGTGTTCCAAAATGCAATGAATATCTGGATTTCTTTTTTCTTAATTACATCTGCAAAAAGATAACATCAAAAACCCTGGACTCTGAAAATTTTGAACTGGCTAAAAATTCTATTATAGTTACATTTACCCGATTGATATTGGTCAAGAACATCATCTGAAAACTAAAATAAGGAACATTTACAAAATTAAGAATTAAGAATAAGCTTCTTTTGATCAGTTGTTGAGGAATTAGTTTGAGTGTTTTCTTCTATGATGGCTGGATCATCTTATCAATGTAGCAAGCAACAAGCAGTTAGTTCCCATCTTCCTGAGCTCATCTACAGCGTTCTGAAGGGTGTTGACTTGATGTGAATCTATGAACCCGTTGACACAAACACCGTAATCTGATACAGCCGCGGTCAAATACATTTTTAGGGACAGAACATTTCTTTTCCTTATGCTCTTCCTTGCGTTCTCAAGATTGAAGGATGCATCCACAAGAGTCGCATAGCAAATTGCAACAGTTGGATTTCCGATTTTAAATCTCGCAGAAGCTGTAATGGCCAATTTCGTCTTAGCCTCCAAGGCTCGAATCGTGTTGTGTGTGGCTCGTCTCGGGTTTGGCCCTTTCACCAGTGGTCGACACAATGCTGGGTATGCGGTTTGAGCGCATAGGCTCGTGAAACGCGCTTCCGTGGCTTGGCTTGCTGCCAGGAGGATCACGACTGCGACGACAGTCGTGAGGTATATCTGGATTGTGTTGCGGCTCGCCATTTTCGTAAAAAAGTTGGAAGGAAATGATCACGGGGAATCGTCTAATCAAATTTCTCCATCTAAATATAGAAACCCTTTTGTTGGTGTCTAAATCATTGGTAATGGGAGTTTTCTGATATTTCTTTTTCTTTGGTAATTATAAGTTGATTAGTTTGAGGTTTAACTTCTTTGTAGGAGAAAATCTATTCTCTGAATATTTTATTTGTATCGTGACGATTGACAAACTAAGATTTTAGACGGCAATGTTAAAACTAAGATTTTAGATGGCAATGTTAATTATGTCTCTCTACAAGCATAAATTACGTATATATAAATTAGTATACATAAATTACATGAAAAAAATGAACTTGTATTGTGACATGCAAGAACTAACATAAGTTATATGGTCAACACCATAAGTTATGGTCCATAACCATGCATCATTTATTGTCTTTCGATTTGACTTTGATATTTCTGGTAGACATTATGTCATTCCTCAGATATGTGTTTTTCTATCTGATAACTGTTTTTTTTTTTTTTAATGTTTTATGTCTACTTGACTGGCGAAAAATTTATGTGACAATCAATTGAATTCGTTGGATTTTACATTTTCTTCGGCAATTTCATCTTATAGGAGTATTATTTTGGTAATGTTGGAAAAGAGAAAAATATTGGGTCAAATCGAGAGACGTTAGTAATAACACACGACCATATAGGTATGAAAAACCCATTATGTCTCGTAACCGTCAAGAACTTCTAGTTCAAAAATAACTAATTCTTTGAAAATATCTATTCTCATCCAACGAATAACGAAGAGATATCAACCAAAAGCGATCTCACTTTAGATGCTCCCTTGTTTCCTCAAAATCTGAATAAAAACAACAAAAAGATGCTATAATTGTATAAGCAATCCCCAAGGTGTCAGTCTCATTCTTGTTGGCATGCAGTTTAGTTGGGAGATCCACATTGTAAAACTATGCTTTGGAGGTTTTCTTTCGCTTGATTTGCAATAAATCGGCCTTCGTTGTTTGACAGCATGTATCTTCTTCGTTGAGGTGACATCGATGATATTCATCAAATTGTTTATCGCTTCATTGATTCCAAGAGCATCAGCTTTTGTTGATGTCGATGGACCGATTGTTATCTGCTTTCATGTTTTTTTTTTTTTTTTTTTTTCTGCCATGGGACCAAAACATATGATTTATTTTCTTGTAACTCCTAATCATTTTCATTTTCTAATGAAATATTGACATTTTTAGCAAAAAAAAAAACATGCTTTGGAGTGGCTCTTTTAAACAAACTTGAAGAAGACCAGTCTTTTTTGCTCTGTTTAGGATGAGAAGAAACTTGAGTAGTATATAAGGTATATTGGTCTCTTCACTCATTGCAAATTGGTTTTGAGTTGGAACCCCATGAAACTTAACATTTCACTAAATTGAGTAAGGGTCGACTTCATAATAGGTGACTTCATAATAGGTGAATGTCTAGTCCCAAATGATTATTTTGAGAAATTAAGATATTTTTAAATTTTTAGAGTGTTTGAAGATATACGAAAACGAAAAATACGAGTATTCCATTCGAATCCCTTACCCTATTCCTTATCCGTTGGATGAAAATAGATAATTTCAAATAGTTAGTTATTTTTGAACGAGAAGTTCTTGACGGTTACGAAACATAATGGTTTTTTTATACCGATATGGTCGTGTATTATCGTTAGTAATAAAATCATATTTATTTTTCATAAACACGTTTAATTAACATCTTTTAAATAAAATCCCACAACAATTATTTTAAAAAGCACCAATAAAATATTGTTCCTATATAAAAAGACCTAAACTATTTGTTTACTATATAAAGGTTAGTCTTATGTTGTTGTTGACAGTTTGCCCCAAAAAAAATGTTGTTGTTGACCACTTTCATAATGATTCTATATGGTGGTTTGGTCGATAAAGAGCAAACAGACATCAATAAGACTAAAAATATTTTAGGGTTGCTGTGGCAGTGACAAAGTTAAGACATCTAATTAGGAAATCGACAATATAAAATTTTATCTTAGGTGAACAAAAATCAAACATTACTAATGGCTCTCAACTTCGAAATAATTACAAGAAAACATACCGGTTTTTTTGACATGCGTGTGTGACAAGTACTTTGATTTTTAGGAGAGAGTAATAACGAGCTGAGTGACATTAAATGCTCAGTATGTGAACTGACCCTTACCAAACTAACACTAATTGTTGTTTTCTCAAATTAGAGCAATTTTAACATGCTACAAACATACATTACACGATTTTAACATTTTTACATATGTAAACACATAGATATAGCGTTAAAAATAATTCTAGTGTTAAGTTATTGGATCTATGTATACATGTAAATATATATAGAACGTTATTAACATGTGTATACATATAAATACGTAAATAGAGCATGGTTAACATTTGTTGTACATGTATGCACACTACAAAACCCAAACTGTAGAACATACCAAGTGAGCAGTGCATCCCAATTGGACATCGAAATATTATAAAAATTTTCGGATTTTCGATTGATTTTCCTTAATTTTTGCCGAGTTGTTATCTATACCGGATTTTGTCGAATTGTTATTGACTCTTCACCGGATTTTATTGAATTGTCACAGTCACTGAATCTTCATCATATTTTGTCAAATTGTCACCGGAACTTATATAGATACTTCATATTAAGTTTTAAGTACTAATTATCTCTATCCTTAATTGATTATTCTCTCTCCAAAAATAATCGAGAAGACAGTTTCGAATTATCCATGGCCTTGCAAAATAAATATAGTTTAATCGGGTATTATGAGAGAATAGACAAATATATACATAAATCTACAATGTTTTTTTGGATATCCACAACATATCAATGTGTTTGTCTAGGAAATGAGACGGTGTTAAAATGAAGAAGCGCATCAGGTTAATTTTGGCAAAAAATGAGAATTTGTCATAATTTATATAAAAACTAATTTGCTTCGGATCTATTGTCTCTTAGTAAATTATCTCAATATTTTATCTGGGAAACAAACATGCAAAAATATGCTATAAAAAACTCAACTATTTTTTGAATACATGACAAAATTTACTTTTTTTGAAAAAGAAAAAGAAAAAAAAAAAAAACTACAAATTCGTGACAAGTTGAGATTGAGTTTCCGACAAGTTTTGAAGATTAGACGAGTGTTTGTGTTTATAAGGTTTAGCTTGGAAGTTTGGTATTGGAGAAGTTAATTTATTTTTCCTTAAAATTTTCTTTTCTTTTTCCTATAATTTTACTTATGTTGTACTTATATTTTTACTTATAAATCTCTATTTAATTGTTAAAGTAGTATATATTGTCATAACCTGATTTGTTATTTTTCTTACTCAGTATCTCACTATTTTATTTTAAAAACCATAAATATGTTTGGTGCAAAAGATATATTAATATTGGATAAATAAGAAATTTTGTCTTTTACTCATATATATATGGGAATCACAGTTGTCATTTATTTAACAGCTGTAGATTAAAATTCATATAACTATTTTAATTAAGATTGAAATGCCTTTGATTTTTTTCCTTATACAAAAAGTTAATTATTTTAATTAACGATAAAGTAAAAACAATTTTTAAAAATATTAAGATAAGATCTCTGTGGGCCAATCGAATGGTCTCTCTCTCGCTCTCACCTAATCTCACACCAAAAGTCTCACGTAAGCTCTCAACTCTCTTCGTACTTAGGACTAAGATTCATTTCGTAGCTTAATTAGTTTGTGTGGAATTTAGGGTTTTCGTTAGAAGCCATGGTTAGAACCAAAACCAATGGCTCGGGGATAGATAGGTTAAGCGATTTACCAGAGCATTTGTCGTGTCGTATACTCTCTCACCTCTCCACCAAGGACTCGGTTCGTACGAGCGTTTTGTCTAAGCATTGGAGAAATCTTTGGTTACATGTTCCTGCTTTGGATTTGGATACCATTGATTTTCCAAATAATCTCGTCTTTAAGGAGTTCATCGATAGATTTGTCGAATTTGACAAAGAGTTAGACTTAAAGAGATTCGAGTTATTTTATGATGTTAATCATGACCACTCTTTTGATGAGTTTCTGTGGATGATCGATGATGTGGTTAAGCGTAGAGTTGGTCGTGTAACAGTTATCAATAACGTGTATGTTGTTGATGAAACGTTAGTTACCATGCCTCTCTCGCTCTATTCATGTGCAACACTGGTGAATTTGGATCTCTCCTTTGTTGCCATGAATAAGCCACAGTCAGAATTGGTTTCTTTACCTTGTGTAAAGACCATGCATCTAGATGCAGTTAAGTTTGATGGTGATGATTCCATTCTGGAGACTCTCATCTCAAGTTGTTCGGTGCTTGACGATTTAACGGTGATTGCGCATCCTGGTGATTATGCCCAAGTTGTATGTGTTCGCTCTCGATCATTAAAAAGCTTCACACTAGAGTCTCAGAGTCAGTATCAAGACCCCAATGTTGAAATTGACTGTCCAAGGCTTGAGTATATGAGTATTAGGGAATACCAACCTGCAAGCATTGTAGTACATAGTATTGGTCCCTATGCAAAGGTGAACATCGATATTATGTTTGAAGTTGACTATGAAGATCCACCGGCAATCACTATGATCCGCAGTTTTCTCATCGCGATATCCAAAGCCCGTGAAATGACCATCTCAACTCGAGCTTTAGAGGTACATTTGATTGTTTTATTCCATAACATATCATGTTTATACATATTTATTCTTTCTTTATTGCTACATACACAGCTCATCGACGGCTACCATCTGATGGTGAATGAGTTGCCTAAGTTTTCCAACTTGTCTCGCCTAAATGCTTTCTTAGACAAGTCTTTTTGGGAACGTTTACCAGGTTTTCTTGGTTGTTGCATCAATCTGAATTCATTCGTCCTGGTGCGTTTCTTTTGCATATGGTCATGTAATAACATTAGGATTTATATCCCAAGATAATATTACATAATTTTCTTGTTTATGTTATTAGGAACTTGACGGTCCATCAGAGATAGAGGAGATTGAAGTTTCACCACTGCTTCAAGATGCCCTATCCGCTCGTGGGTTTGTTCAGCTGAAGACACCAGTTTCAGTCACAA